TTAAGGTTCTGAACTGACTACTAACTACTAAGTCCTGCTTTAGTACAGGGGGGTAACGTTTTGATCTGCCTGAAATAATATATCGATATATAGTTGGGGTTATAAGTTTATATACATCTTGCACACGCTGGAAAAAGTTAATACTTTTTTTTTTTTTTTTTAAAAGGGGCTCATTAAGATTGGATTAAAAAATGGATGATCAGCGGCTGTTTTTATTTTTTGTGAGAGTTCTTCACGAGTCTCTTGTTTGTCCCGAGCAGTTGCCCACTGTTCTTCAGAAAAATCCTCTAGATCCTGCAAATTCTTTGCTGTTCCAGCATCTTGTGCATATCTGATCCCTTTCCAACATCGGCGATATGATGTTGAGATCCATCTTTTCACATTGAGGACGACTCAGGGACTCGTGCACGACTATTACAAAAGGTGCAAACATTCATTGATGCTCGAAGGCAACACGATGCATTTAGACCCAGGGGGGTGTAAACTTTCGAACAGAATGATCGGTGTAAATTTTTATTTCATCTTCTGGGAAACATGTAACTATCTTATGTAGCTTCTGAAGGACGGTACTAAATGGAAAAAATAAGCAGTTTATGCCTACTAACAATGAATGGTTCAGACATTCATCTCTCAAAGCACACAATACAGTATACGTGAATAGTAATGACACTGGCATGTAGTGACACATTATTTAGTATGTGGTTTGGGATGCAGCCCAAAATTTGTAACTTCTACCAGAAAAAGGAAAGAATGACCAGAAATAAGCGTATATTGAGCATATCAGACATCCTGATCAGCCTGCTGTGCTCAAACATCATCCGACACTCATACACAGCTCATCACCTACCGAATACACAAGTCTAATGTTATCTAGTGAACCCCTGACACAGCCTCAACAACTCGCAGCATCTCAGGAGCATATTATTGTATTAGAGATTTTTTTCTTCCTTGATTCGAGAATCATGTTTTATTTTTAACAGCGACGTCCTACACACTGCAGCTTTAAATATGCTTTTCATAACGTTCTACAAGTCTTCTCGAGATACAACTTCTGCGAGCATCACCTAAGCAAAACCTTTTTTTTTCTCCTGTCTTTTGTCTGCTGGTTGTTGCTCTGACTTCGTTGCTCCGGTTCTGAAATCATGCTGTATTTTTGGCCTGCTAGGCGATGAGGAATTACAGAGTATTGCAAGTGATTTCCGCATTTCTTTCCCCTCTGAATAAGAGACAGTATCGGAGACGGACACAGCGCTGCTGATGTTTACTGTTTCGAGTGTATGCGACTGTCATGAATATCGGCTTCAGCGTGTTGGCACTACTGAGGATTAACATTGGCACCGGTTCAGATGAAAAAGACTCGAGACAAGTTCATGCGTGATGCAGTGTGCCCTCCCTCTGTGCTTAACCCGTTTCAAACAAATGACCATTTTCCAGTTGTACGAATCGAAAAACAAATCCCTGCCAATCTTCACTCCAGCGTTCTGTGTAATTCTCTCTCCATTATTTCTCTATAAAGGCATACACACCGAATTTGAATATGTAAGCTCTAATTAGTGTTTCTCTATGTTTCTCATTTGGACCTTATGATGGAGGGCGATATGATTAGGCAGAACGATCAGTACGGATTATCTTTCCTCGTCTGCAGAGGAAACGATGAAAAGAAGGCGGAGGTGGTGGCGGGTCTTCGATTAAAGCCGTTCTTTTATAAGCATACAACAATAGCAGGGATAATAAGTTAGGGAGGAAAAGTACGGCGCCTGTTAATTGTGCTGATTTCACACACGCTCTGTGTGATGGGCAGCTGCAGCAGCCGTGTGTGTGTGTGTGTGTGTGTGTGCGTGTTTGGCTCATTTGAGACCGGCAGGTGCAGAGTGTGAATACTTTCCCCAACCGTCCTTTCTTTGCTCTTGCCTAATGTCGAGCCTCCTCACTGGCCCATTTTAGTGCTTTCTGGATCTTTTTGAGTATAAATGAGACCGAGCTTGTCTGAGACACAGGACACTCATCCGTGCAGCTGGATCAAGTCTATTCTCTGCTCTATACCATGCATGGAAATGACATAGTGAAGTCTGACTATCATCTTCTCCTCTTCTCTTCTTTATCATAGTGCGCGATCATAATTTAAACACCGTCAGATTGCATTTGAGATTTCCTCGGTTAGTACAAGTGCCTCCGGATCCATTGAGGATTTTTTTTTTCTCCCCCGTCCTCCCCCTTCTTTAAGCCGTCAATCATGTAGTCGATAATTCCGTTCTGAAGGATGGGTGGATGAACTGAGCACTAATGCTTTCAATGACATCATCTGAGTTATTTCCACGATGCACCCAGTTCTCTAATTAATATTACTCTCTTATTAATACTTCTCCTGTCACTTTACACCCCCTCACCCAGCTCTGCATGTTCTCCCCCTTCCTTAAATGATTTATTTTTATTTTGGCAATTAGTTAAGACCGGCTTAGTGCTGCACCCCATTTAATCCCCCATGAGGGGTGATTAAAAAGGCAGCAGCCTAGTTTACACTGATTGTATGAGTTTGTGTTAGAAGAAGCTGCACCACTCCTCAGTAAATTCCACTTTATAACATAGTATTGGAGTGGATTAATGTGTGTGTGAGGTTTTCTTTTTTAAACAGTTGCCCAGATTTTAGCCAAATGACCCGTTGTTATATCTGAAGTTTCAAAAAATACTCTCTAACATTTTTCTTTTTAAAGGACATCACTGCAGGAATTCTAGACTGTATAACTCTGTCTGTGTCGAAGAACTTGAACTTGAGATTCTTAATTCAGACTTTTCCTCAGGCTTATTGTAAGGGGAAGCTAAAGGTCAGTTTTCCCCCCAGTTTAGTAATCATGAAGGTTAACACTCAAAACCAGCCATCCACGTCTTTTCGAACTACTGCTCATGCCGCGTCACAGGAACCCAGAGCAGCGTAACACACTCGGAGGGAGGCGATATTTGCCGCCCTTCCTCATACACGAGCTCACGGACACCCGCGATTGGCTAGTATCACTGTTGCACATTCACAATGTTTTATTATTTTTACAGTAATGTGCACTGTATGTACATATTTCTGATTTCTCATTACAATGTTTGTTACTCAAAGTAGAAGTCATTAAACAGAATTGTTTGGGCCCTGTTGTTAAAGTAAATGTGTGTTTCAGTAATATAGCCAAGTAGGAGCGTTTCAGTTACCAGCATGTATATTAAAACACAGATTCCATGTCGAACACGGATTCCATTCCATTTCATGATGAATAGATGGATGGATTCCATGTCTGCAAAACTAACATTTTAAATGAAACATTGATAACTAATCGACATTGAATCGAAACCATATAAATAACCCTACTGCATGTCAAGAACAAATAAATAATAGGACAACAAAATAGCTATGTTGCAACTAGGGAGCCATCAAATTTGGATTCAAAACCTCTCACACCTAGATGAATAGTCTTATTATATGATATTGTTTCTAAATTGGATGAATAATCAAGATAAATGTGGTTTCAGAAATAACAATTTTAGCCATGATTGCCATGATGTATTTATTTATATATATATATATATATATATATATATTATTTATTTTTTTTGCCATTATGCCCATTTAAATCCAATTTTATGGGTTAATAGTTAAATAGTCTTTGTTATATCCTTGCAGCTGGATAAGCTGTTGTGTCTGTTCCTGCTGTTCTAGTGTCCTATAAACTGAGGAATGGTCAGGAACGCTTTAGAGAAAAATACCTCTCGCTTCCCGAGCGAACAGTCTGGAAATCCAGAACCACCAGACATGCTGCCTTGTACATTTAAAGATTATAACCGTTTGGTTCAGAATAGAGGGTATGCTTAAACATCACTGTCAATAGCCGTCATTATCTAACTGCCCCCCGTAACCCCTCTCTCCTTCCCTCTCCTGCTCAGGAAGGAAGCAGGTCATCCCTTCATCCTTTCTAATAGGCTCATTAGTCCTGCTGTAATGAAATAAAGCATGAGCTGTGTGCAGAGGCTCAACATTGTGTCCTCCCCCCCCTTTACTACAGCATTGGTAATGGAGCAGCCTGAGATTTGCAGGTCTCTGATCCGTTCTCGAACTCATCCCCACTGCTCTGACCTCTCGCTTCTCCAGACAGCGTGTGTCACTCAGCACAAATGAGCCAACCCTGATAGAAGAGATGAGCCATGTCTCTGCTCACCAAACCTATCAATAGCTAATTAAGCTTATTGAGCAGTATGCACTAATGTCATTTACTGGTATTAGCGAGGAGATTTCTATCCCTCCATCCGTCATCTCCCATGCTTCTGTAACTTTTTGGAAATTGAGATGATATTCTTTGCCAATTGTGCTTCCTTCTGTATCTGTGTTTATTTTTTTTAGCCAATTGTGTGGTGGTTTTCATGGCATCGTTATATTGCATCCTGGAGTAATTATGATGGCAACTGAAAGGATCTCTCCTGTTTTTTTCACCACGGCTCCGTGTTATTGTATAGAGATAAGCTCCTGTGCGACTGTGGCTCAGTCAGAGTGTGAGTGTGGTGCGAGTGAATATGGTGGGTGATCTGCTCTGCTCTCTGTCTGTCCTGGCACCGCTGCCACTCCATACTCCATTTCCAAGCTGGCACACACTCAGACCACCCAGGACCCCGGCTTGGATACGCCGAGGTCAGCTAAGGGACAAAAAACCCAGAGCCAAGGCTGTCAATCACATCCCTGAGAGACCGTGCACGATTGTGTGTACTGTGCTGCAAAGCACAATCCCATTTTCTGACCATGAATAACTCTCTTTGTGGCTTCTGTCGAAGTGTTCTGATTTGTTTAGCTTTTCTAACAAATGCGTCCCGAAGGTAGAAAGGATGAATGATCTTCCTTTGCTTGTGTGCGCCATAGAGCATTCTTTTGAATACAAAGTTTTAGGCAGCATTCAATGAAGATTGATGTGTGACATTGATGTGGAATTAGAGATGGGATTTGATTGATTTGGAGTTGTAAACGTTGGAGTTAAGGGCATGTGGTGGCTTAGTGGTTAGCACGTTTGCCTCACACCTACGGGGTTGGGGGTTCTATTCCCGCCACGACCCTGTGTGTGTGGAGTTTGCATGTTCTCCCTGTGCTGTGGGGGTACTCCGGTTTCCAAAGACATGCATGGCTGGTTGGCGTGTCCAAAGTGTCTGTAGTGTATGAATGGGTGTGTGAGTGTGTATGTGATTGTGCCCTGTGATGGATTGGAACCCTGTCCAGGGTGTACCCCGCCTTGTACCCCATGCTCCCTGGGATAGGCTCCAGGTTCGACCCTGTTGGATAAGCGGTATAGAAAAGGAATGGATGGTTATGTATATGTAGTCTGTTCTTCCTGCAGTATGACCACTTAACCAGTGAATCATAAAAAATACATGAAAGCACACCAGAACTGAAAAGCATGATTTATAAATGAATAAATTCTCTTGAATGACTTCTGATTTTACTATTATTATTATTATTATTATTATTATTATTATTATTATATTCTGATTATTTAAATAGGTTTGTCAAATTTGGTAATTTAGCTTAAGAGCCTGAAAGTCAGTTCTCTATTTAAATTAGTCAGCGTTCATGATGAGGTAACTGAAAGCCCTTTAGAGCCTAGCTCAGGCTTGAAGAAGAATAGATCATTTCTTATTTATTTACTAAATAATGTATTATTTAGTAGGATATTTTCGTTGGCATTTTTCGTTTACACATGTACTCCAGTGAATATAAGTGTCATTTTTCTCCTCCCACTCCTATTTTGTGTATGTTTTTCTCTCAGAGAGGTGTTTGTGATAAAAGTTGAACTCTTGGGGTGAATCTAAACCTAAAAGTCTGCTTGCTTTCTTAAACCCACCGAACCCCAGAGTGGTGAAGAAAGTAAGCTTGCGCTGGTAAATTTTGCATAGGTTAACCCTCGATACTTCCACTTCCATTTACGGCAATGAGGTTCTACACTCCTGATCACCTGACGGTTTCAACGACCAGCCCCTTTCAAATCCCCGACTCGCGTGTATCCAATTTAGCCACACACTGCTGTTTTTCTGTCCATCTCTTTGATTACATTTCCTTGCACTGTGGCCCGTTGTCATGCTGGATGACTTGAGGAATATTGATGCACTCCATAAGGAGATTGCTTTTTGTGAGCATGTGCTCGAAACTGTCAGTCCAGCTAATTTCACTGCTCTGCCTGTTAGCCCATGGTCATGATGGAACCTGGTCATGGGCGGTGCGTGTGTGTGTGTGTGGCTGAGAGCACAATGTACAACAGCTGCTGTCTAGTGGTTCAGACACCACCCTGTATTGTTTTATGTAATCAGTCTGCCGGTGTAGCTGTCTCTCAGTCTATCCATCATGAGATTGATTGATTGATTTTATTTATTTATTTCAATGTAGATTATAAAAATGCACTCCTAAAAATGATCTCTTGTACTATCTTGCTGAACATTCCATAGATAGTGATTTTCAATGTGTTTCCATCTATTTTGATCAATCTCCATTTTTTTTTTTAACTAGTTTTATTATTTTTATTTTTTTTACTTGGGATTGTTTAAATCTGAAAGAAATGAATCAGCCACAACCCAGAACAGGATAAAGCAGTTAAGGGCGATGTTTGATTGAACATACAAGTTTAATTTTTCCCTCAACTTAAGGTGTAGGTTTTATGCATGAAGAGTTTGAACATTGTTAATTGATGGACTGCAGTCCAGATGTTGACACAGCGAAGTATTTCCAAATTTGCTTTATCGGGCTCGCATCCACGGCTGGTTATGACATCGTTGGTATTCAAATTCGCGATCTCTGGACACGGGACTCTGGTTTTTTAAAACGTGAACCATTATGGCTTCTGGATACTCTGATGTAGCGTTTATTTAAACTCTTTAGCTCTAAGGGGAAAAAATGGGTTATCTCTAGACAAAAATCTTTTCAGAGTCACTGGTCACGAGTGGTAACGTGAAGCATCACTACAACCCGAAACAGAACCATTTCAAATTGATGTATAGCCTTAAACGGTTATTAAGGGTGACGCATTAAGAGGTAACAAACAAACAAACAAACAAAAACAAAAAAACAGCAGCAGTAGTTCTTAGAAAAGTCTAACATGCTTCAGAATTTTCTAAAAGCTCCATATTTATTTGGCTCTCAATCGACTACTGATTTCCATCAGTAGTCGATGCCGCACTCGTTTAATTCTGAAAATATAAACCAGCCGCTCCATTCAGACAGGATGCATAAAACACGCTGCGTCCACGTTGTGTCGTGACACCGCTGCTGAAATGCCAGGCAGGTTCAACAACAAATACATCAGTTATACTTGAGTTTTTGCTCCATCACAAATCTGTACTGGTTTGTACCGCTCAGCATTAATAGCATCATTATTAAGTACTGTTGAGTACACTGAGCTCATTAAAAGGCTGAACTGCTCAGTCAAATAGCAAATTCATGACTTGATTGATATTTCAATAGGCCAGAGTAGGTCATGTGACCTTTAGACACTGAACAATCGGTCTCGAAACATTGCAGTAGATGTCAGACCTACAGATAGATACGTACAGTGAGCCTCTTTTCTACAGCAGTGCTCCTCCTAAACATGTTAAATCCCCAGTATAGGTGTCCAGAGTTAGAAATTGAGGGAGGGAGAGAAGAAAGATTAAACAGTCCTGTGAGAAAGTAATCTCTCGGTACATAGCGCCCGTATCTCCAGCCCACGGGAATATAAGGTGTGAACGGGCCCCTGACAGGAGTCACTGATTAAAAAATTCCCACTGCTTTTTGCTTAAGTGTGCACTTTGAAGTTTTAGAAGGTTTTCTGTCTCACTGTCCGGCCCACATATAGAGTTGCAATCAAAATCATTCAATCCCCATTGCAAATCGGGTTTATTGTCAAAATGTACAGACTTTCAGCTGTTTGCAATGAACAAATCAAACAAAAGCAATTGAAATAGTTCAACACAACGAATGCTTCAAGTGGTTTTCCAAAATTCAACTGAAAATGCAATTTATAATGACTTCTCCAGTTTCAAAATTATTCAACCCCTAAATAGAATCCCTCACAACAGCACAATCAAGGGCTTCATTAGCTGCACCAGGTGTGCTTGAGCTGGAACACATGAAATACCTGAACTGGCTCGGGGTAGAAATATATAAAATACCTGGACAGGCAGGTTGAAAACCCTCGAGTGACTGCAGAAGACCTGCAGCAAGACCTGGTGGCAACAGGCACTGAGGTTTCAGTGAGCACAGTATGGCATGTACTAAACACAGAAGGTTTCCAAGCCAGAACTCTAAGACGTACACCACTACTGACCCAAAAGCACAAGAAAGTCGCTCAAAATCATATAAAGAAGCCACAGAAGTTTTGGGATTCTGTTCTGTGGAGCGATGAAACAAAACTGGAACTTTTCGATACGATGGATCAGCGGTATGTCTGGAGGAAGAAGAATGAAGACGGAACATTCTGTCTACAGTCAAGCATGGTGGTGGCTCGGTGATGCTCTGGGGCTGCTTTGCGTCCTCTGGTACTGGAAACTTGCAGCATGTGGAAGGTGAGTTAGGTTCATTGAAGTATCAGGAAATCCTAGGAGAAAACGTCATGTCGTCTGTGAGGAAGCTGAAGCTTGGGTGTCATTGGACCTTCCAACAGGACAATGATCCCAAGCATACCTCAAATTCCACCAAGGCTTGGTTGCAGAAATCGTCCTGGAAGATTCTACAGGGTCATCAGTCACCTGACTTGAACCCCATTGAAAATCTCTGGTGGGATTTGAAGCCGGCGGTTGCAGCAGGCAAACCCAAGAATATCACTGAACTGGACTCCATTGCTCATGAGGAATGGGCTAAGATTCCTCAGGAACGCTGCCAGAAGCTCTGCATCTCGTTTGCAGCAGGTCATAACAGCAAAAGGGTGCTCTAATAAGTATTGAAGATTTTTTCCATGAAGGTGTTGAATAAATTTTGATTGCAGCTGTAACTTAGACAGCCAAAGACACTCATCACTCTCATCTCTCCTACTACATGCATCCAGAATTACATCCAAATTAAATCAATCTCTCTCTCTCTCTCTCTCTCTCTCTCTCTCTCTCTCTCTCTCTCTCTCTCTCTCTCTCTCTCTCTCTCTCTCTCGTCTCTTTTGTTATATTTTGTTTTGGACACAGCCCTGACAGAGCCATTAAGCACTGCTGGCTGTCCTCTATAAAGGACAGCTGTTCTACTCCATTTCAGTAATAACGTTGGATTTGTCAGTGTACTAATTCAGTTAGTCCAGAAATAACAGGAAACATAATAGCACTCTGCTAAAGCAGCGTGTTTTTGTTAGCTGCTTTTGGTCAAAAGTGTCTCTGTATGCATGACCTCTGCTCCTCCACCCATGCATTTAATTCCCTTATCAACAGCGATCCTCCAGCGCAAACCAGTGTGCACACGCTGTGAGAGAAGCTAACGGCAGCGCTAGCTTGTTTGTTGAAAACACGAGCTTACCCGATTGTACAAGCTTCATTTTAATCCACCTAATACACACCTTTCAAAAAAAATAAGAGCTTGTTGCCTTGATGACACATGACCTTTTATTTGATTTATTTATTAAATGCTAAAACGTGCTGTTGAGCTGAATTGATTCTCAGGTTTTTACACAGGTCATTTATTTATTTGTTTGTTTTTAATCGTATGTACGAGCTGACTGCATCTGTGGCCGTGTATAGACCGTTTTTAATTTAGAAACTGGAGACGTTGATCGTAGTGCTGTGTGTGTGTGTGTGTGCAGTCTTGCTCTGTTTATCCTCCCATGAATATTTACAATGGAGTGGATACGCTCCCTACAGGCAGAGACAGATGGAGTGGCCTTTTTCAGTTTGCACTCTGCTCGATCAGTCTCCTATCAATAGGCAGTTATTCTAGTCTTGGTGTGTGTGTGTGTGTGTCTTTATATGTTTGTATGTTTTTTTTACTTGACGTGTAATCTTTAATCTTTAAGTGAGCACTTTGCATTAGCTTTGCTTTCATTTTCATCCTCTTTAAAGCATCCATGCCTCATTTTGTCTAGAGAGCTCTATGGCTCTATGGTACGCCACTGCCATCT